TATTATTATTATTATTATTATTATTATTATTATTATTATTATTATTATTATTATTATTATTATTATTATTATTATTATTATTATTATTATTATTATTATTATTATTATTATTATTATTATTATTATTATTATTATTATTATACTACTACTACTACCACCATTATTATTATTGTTATTATTATTACAATTATTATTAATATTAATATTAGTAATAATAAAATAGGTACCAGAAAAGGTGAGGAGGGAAAATGGGAAACATTTGTTATCTTCCTTTTTGTTTTCCTGTTCCTTTTCTTCCCGTAGTGCGACAGACGTCAAAGAGGTGAGATAACAAATCTTGAAATTGAAAACAATGAATGAATCGGAAAAACAGGACTATGAAAACATGTTTTTTAACTTGCTATTAACAATTTAATAGAGAGAAAAAGTAAACTAATAGTGTCACTATATCAGATAAATAAAATTACCGCTGTTGTCGTTCACTAATTACTGTTCAGTAGAATTTTACTTGATTAGTTTAGGAAACATTTTTACTTGATCACATCATTGATGGCCGTGTATTGTATCCATTTACTGGGCATATGGTATTGGCATGGAAGACCATTGCGAAATTGAATGGTTTAGAATTCCTGAAAACACCTGTCATTTTGGAAGAAATCCGAGTATACAGTGCAACAATCGTGACCAAACCAAGTGAGAGATTTAATTTTTGCGTAAAAATATGTAGTTTTTAAATAAGTTATTAGAATTCCGTGAAAGTTTATGCTTAAAATAATGAGATAAGATACTAACAACAGTGTTGGAAAGCTGCTGATGGCCGAATCTCTAATTTTACAAATAGTCATCTTATTTTCAGTTCGTTTGGATGTTATTGTAACGCCGGGAAATGGATATTTCGAAATTTTGGATGGTGACCAACTAGCGGCATCCGGCTATATTCGTATTGTCGATGAAGATGTGCCATTTTATTACAAAAATGTTGGTGAAATTCAAACATCCGAAATTGCAGAACGCATCGAATTAGATACAGAAGATGCTTATAAGGAATTTCTACTTCGTGGATATGAATATGGTCAAGCATTTCGGTTTGTACTTTTCTTCATTTGCTCCTCACAATAAGATCATACTTAGACATGCTATCATTCAGCATTGATTGTTTCTCAATATTGCTCCAGTGGCGGATATAATTGTCATCAGTTTCAGAAGAACAATCACTCGAGATTTTGTTTTTGATTGAAATTTCTTTCTTCCTTCCATCATTTCATATGTTTCCATTTGTTATCCTCAAATGCGCAATTTTACCATAATGGGCGCAATGGTGATGAGTATGTGGTTGAATAGCTGTAATTTTTGTACAAGTATTTTGAGTATTAAAAAATTTCTTTTTAGTGGAATATATCGGGCATGCAACAGTGGAGAGCGTGGTATGCTGTACTGGACTGGCAACTGGGTGACATTTCTGGATTCACTTTTACAAACAGCTTTGCTGGCTGAACGAGCTGATAGTCTTCGTTTACCTACCCGAGTGCGTTACTTGCGAATTGATCCGGTTAAACATATGGAATATATCCAAGAAACAGGTAATTTTGCCACTAAAATTAAAATATAGATCAATGTAGATCAAAAATTAAAAATATAGATCAATGTAGATCAAAAATTAAAAATATAGATCAATATAGATCACGATTGGAAAAAAGCAATTTTTTTTTTAATTGTAAGTCCAAGAAATCCATAAAGAACTGTTGTAGGATTCTTTTCCATTCATTTTTATTATTTAATTTTCAAACTTAAATTAATTTTAGATGGTATTCAAGTAATTGAATTGCGTAATGATATAGCGACCAATGGCTGCATTGCCGGTGGTGTTGAATGTTGTGATTTGACAGCACATACGGTTCCCCGTCGATTACAGTCTGCTGGACAGCTTTATTATGAGAAAATTTACTTCACCAAACATTTCGACATGAAGTAAGTAGCTGAAAATCCAGAATGCAACAATTAAAGAGATGGTAGGGGAAAAAAAGTGCGAGAAAGGTTTTTGTTCTGAGTGGTACCATTATTCAATAGTTAGCTGCTAGGATCATCTAACTGTTTTGTATGGTACATTTCCTAACCATAGCATAAATGCACCTGTGAAATACTGATACATAACCTACTAAAACTACTCTTCATAGCTGTCCATCAAACAGTTTTAAACCAGTTGCTGCGTATGATTCCCATCTTCAATGTGTAGAATTAAGCACAATATTTCACTTTCGGAATTAATACCAATTTTGGCATTGTTAATAGTTTTTATTTTCAGAGCCTTTGATGATTTTCCGCATATCCGTGAAGAGCTGAATGCTTATCGAGATTTTCTTCGATCAATGCTGGCCAATGGTTTAGCAAAATGGGAAGTTAATGACTGTCTGAAAGAATTAACAAATAATGCACTCCTTTCGGATGCTGTTCGTAAATTTGCAAAGTTCATGAATCCAGTCAGTGAAGCGGAGCACAAACGATGGCTCGATGATTCGCAGTTTGTTCTTCCTCTTATTCTCCGATAATGTTTGACTGCAAAATAAAGCAAAAAATCTCGCTTGTCTGTCATTAAATGGAATTTTATGTTTTATTGCAATTCAGGTCACCAGTTGCAACAGTGTTTCATGAAATTTTTGCCATCGAAATTGGTGACAATCCCAAAGATCTTGAAAATAAGGTGGCCGAAAAAATGCAAAGTATGTTGAAAATCTTTAATGTAGATCGGTTATGGAGCGCTGCTATTGTCTATGATAGGATTTTGAAAACAATCCAGGTACATCATTCGCTGATTATAAAAGTTGTAAATTTTTCTGATTGAGAAGTTGAAACTTGTGAAGACATGTTGTAAATAGAAGACTTGTGGATATGGAACAACCGCATTTGGAACTATCCAACCGAAAATTCTTGCTTATAAATGTAAGCTAGCTATTATTTATGAGTCATCTTTTTCAGGACACTTGCATTGAGAATTCAACTGGGCATAATTGCAAAGCATGTGCGCTTGAATTCAATTCAACCGAACAACTTAAATTTTGTGTTGATGCAGTGAACTCACACCCGCTTTTGGAAATGGAATGGCTATGTGTTGGACCCAAAGTAGATGATATGGATGAAAGCACTCTGGTACAGCTTGGTGTTAAAAAAGTAACAGCTGTTTTGGATGACAAACAATTCGTACCAGTTGCTGAAATTAAAAACTGTGACATAATAATTTTGGACAAAATACTATCACGGTAAGTTAAGTTTATGACTACTTGTACATTTGTTTTCACTACTGTTTTTCTGTGAGATTCTGGTAAAATGAATTTGAAGTGACATATATATATATTCTCTGCATTGCGAATTTAGAATTTCTGAGTGACCTTTGTCCAGTAGAAAAATAGAGCAAAAATTAACTTTGCAAGACAATGGTTCAGGCGTGTTGAGTTCATATATCAAGAAACTTTATTATAATTGACAAAAGTGAAGATATGACTTTTCAGGAAGAAAGACGTGGTGCGGTATCTGTTGAGGTGTAAAGAAATGTTGCGTGATGATGGCTTCATCATTTTGATTGAGACGACATCTGACTACGAAATTGCCCTTGCAATCCAAGGCCTTAGTGCAGAAACGATAAATATCAGTGATTCTGGACGTATCTATGGTGCTTATTTTACACATGATCAGCTACTGAAGTTATTTGAAGAGTGCGAGTTTCGTCTCTGTAATTATCAGGTGTCTTTTTCATATATTTCAAAGAACAAGAGACTTTTGATTAACTAAAAGTTAAAAGCTTTCGTACATTTTATCTTTATAGACTGATCCTTCAATGATGACCACAGCGTATGCTATCCGAAAAATTCCATCGCAAGCTAGAGAGCCAGTAGTGATTGACGTGGATGATATTGAAGAATTTACCTGGATTGAACCTTTGCAAAAAGCAATTGAAGAACGTTTAAACGAGCCAGATTACAAGACTATTTGGCTTACCAGTACAAGAGTACGCAACAATGGATTACTTGGACTTGCCCTTTGCTTCAAGCAAGTTTTTGACAGTATACAGTATATTTTAATCCATTGCAGCACGATGAGTTGACCCTGATTGAATAATCTGAAAAGTTTTTCTAGAACCACGCAGTTCAATAATATAAAAACTATTCGTATGACTTGTGAATGTAACATGAATTTTTAAACTTTGAGCTTAAAGTTTTGTATAAGAAATGTACAAAGCTTAAGCGCATGGTTGACTTGATGATGCGAGATAGCTATTTGGTAATCCATTCTTGAAAATTTAGATCTTTTGATGAATTGATAAATGAAGAGAAAAAAGTGTCAAAAGAAAGACGAAACAAGAACACGGGGAAATGATTAAAATTGATGCTAAATTGTTTAAAAAATATTTGAAATAATACTATATTACAGTACCTTAGAGATTTTTAAGACCAGTGAACAGTAATTGTTACAAATGGTGTGGCGTAGAGCATAAGGAAATGTGAAAGTTTTTCTAAATTGGTAAAAATTGGTTTTAACTGAGTATAGATAGGTATTCGGTCGTTTTGACATTCTAGACAAGTGATGTTCAATGTTTTTTTGACTACGGACTACTTTGGCT